GAGAGGCTACTAGATATGCGGTAGTCTTGCATATAAGCCGCCAAGAACTGACGGCAACAATGTGTAATTGACAATTGAGTCGTTCATTGCGAATTATAGCATTTGTTAAAGCGCCACTGTGGAAATTAAGTGTATTGCAAAGCTGTATTCAGAAAGAATAAACCAGTTTTATTTAAGAAAGGACTTGTATCGCTAAAGTTTCTTTGGAAAGAATTTTTACGGAAAATTAACTAATGACCAGAGATGTAACAAATTTGTGTCAGAAGTGGGATAAAAAAAAGATGGAAACGAGAAGCGGCAAATCAAACTACAGCTTAGCAGATTTGATGGCAGCAATACAAGAACAGCAAAAGAAACAAGAAGAACGAGAAATAAACAAGAAGAGAGACAACAGCAGTTGCAAGAAAACCTGCAACATTGACAGCTGGAACAGCAAAATAAACAAGAGAGATTACAGCAGTTGTTGGAGGAAAAAGAAAAGAAGAAAAACGAGAAAAGAAACAAGAAGAGAAATTACAGCAGTGGCAAGAAAACCTGCAACAGTGGCACCTCGAACAGCAAAATAAAGAAGAAGAGAGATTACAGCAGTTGTTGGAGGAAAAAGAAAAGAAACAAGAGGAACAAGAAAAGAAACAAGAAGAGGGATTACAGCAGTGGCAACTAGAACAAGAAAGGAAACAGGAAGAAAGTCTCCAACAGTTGCAGGAAAGTCAGCAGCTACTACGGGAAAGTTAACAGCAGTGGCAAAGAGTACAAATGGAAAACTTTAGTAAATTTAAAAGCGAATTAAATACATTAAAGGATGATTTATTGTCTTTTACACAAGGAAGATACATTACCCATCGACTTAATCAGCCCCAGACAACGGCAAGCCCCTTCCAGACCCCGCAGCTAAACCCTAATGCAGACATCTTCAGTCCTGTTAGAAGTCACATCCCAGATATGAATGTCAGTAATAGGAGTGATCCAGTACGAAGGAAGTCACAGGAATTCGATGGGAAGACACCGTGGAATGCATATAGAGCACAATTTGAGCTACTGGCAGAGATAAATGGATGGACAGAGGAGCAGAAAGTAGTATATCTGGCAACGGGCTTGAAGGGACAACCACTGGAAAAGCTTGGACAGTTGTCAGCAGACGACAGGCACAACTATAGAGCACTGGTAGCGGCTCTAGAACTCAGGTATGGAACCCAAAATCAGTCCGAAGTCTAGAGGGCTAGGTTTAGGACAAGAGACCGTGCTAAAGGGGAGAGCCTACATGAGCTGGCACAGGACTTGGAAAGTATGGCACACAAGGCCTACCCAACTGCACCACTCGATCTCCTCAAGTTGTTGCTGAGGGATCAGTTTGCAGACGCTTTGGACAGTCCACAAGTGAAAATACAAGTGAAGCAAACATACCCCTCTACTATGCAGGATGCAAAGGCCAGAGCTCTTGAATTCGAATC